ATTAAGATATTTTGATATTTAAAAATATTAAGATATCTAATAATAACTAAACATTAAATTTAACAAAGTTATGGTACATATCTATACCTTACATAATTAATAGTTATTACCAGATATCTTAATACTTTTAATGTTACTTAAGACATTTTGAATTTTTTAACTAAATAATAATATAATTAAAGTTGGTTAACTAAGACATTAAATCTCCTATTTATCTTACTTTTTAATTTGTAAAAGGTGACACAAAGGTTTGAAGTATGGATCATGACTTTTTTTTTTTTAATGCTAATACATTCTTTGGTAACTTTAATTAATTTGTATAATCAATAAGCAATAGAAGTATTCAACTTAGTCAATATCCCAAATATATATATATATATATATTTTTTATAGATATATATTCAACTTAGTGTAGATATATAAAAAAAGATGAGTTGAAAATTGGCTGATAGAAAAAATAAAGAGAAGAAAAATATAAAGATATCATGTGGACTCAAAGTAAAACCAAACTCACTACAGTAGTACTAAACTTTGCATACCAAGCTCGAGAGGATTGTTTCAACTAATATAATGCACGTCATAATCGGCATATTTTGTTTCAAGGATGGTTGAGCTCAGGAGGTGATTTCATATAAACTTTTTCTTCTGGGTCACTATTAAGAAAAGCATTTTTCACATTCATCTGTAACAATTTCTATCTCTGTATAGCAACAATAGCAAACAAACTACGCACAAATGTGAGACGAGCAATTGGAGCAAACCTTTCTTTAAATTACTTTTCATTCTTTATTCTTTTCAGTTTCTAACATTGGCATACCAGCTCAAGGTGGGAAGCCTGAAATCAAATACACGATCACATCAAAGCCACAGATTTTTCTCCCTAACGTGTCCTGCCACAATAATGTTGAAGATTGTGAGATTAAGTTTGATGATTTTAGTCAATGGTTAGGTTCTAGAGCGCATCAGTTAATTAATGTATTTCCGGGAAAAATATTGTTATCTGTGTATTTCAAACTATGAATGAATGAAAAGTCAAAGCCCACATTACAGAGAAAGCTCAGTTCATCTCATTCACATTCTCTTCCCTTGTTTTCATTGCTCAATCTTTGAGCTAATTAATGCATGTTCATGACTTCATGTTTGGTTTATTTTATAGTCTCACCAAATGACCTTTTCAGCTCCATCCCACCCTGACCGGCGGTCTTCCATGGAATAAATTAACAATTGTTACTAATATTTCTCTAGCAAGTATATGACACAAAATGCTAGCAACGGTAGTTAATTAGCTCAAGTTTAAAACAATAAACAGTAATTTTTGTCTTATGGCCTCGCTCGTTGCAGATTGCTGCAGCAGTTGTAGGTAGTGGTAATGGTAGTGAGTAAAAAATAACAAGCAGTGGATATTTAAAACAATTTTTTTTTTTTTGTCTCTATTAACCAGTCACATAGTTCAAGTTTCTAGATAAAAAAATTAGGCAGTAATTGATACATTTTTTATTTCAATATATTTTTTAAAAAATTGTTATTTTTAAATTTAAATTTAAAATAAAAAAAAACTTTTAATTATAAATTTTAATAACCAAACCAATTGATATTAATAGTTGTGTTAAATGAAAAATATTGTATCTATGATTTTGATGATTATAAAATATATTTAAGTGACTAATTAGTTCATTTAAATGTATGGTTAAATTGCTAAAATATTGCAATATAAGTAAACTTGGATTGCACTAAAAATGAATCAAAATGCTTAAAAAATGTGCAAAGAGCTGACTCTAAAACCTGCAGCCAGCTCTGCAGAAGAAAAATTCAAATCCATTGATTGACGCGCAAGAAAAATAGACGCAAAATCAGCTTTAACTTTGCAATTAACTGTGATGGCATATTAAATACACAATGGTCAAGTTATTTAAAAATTTCGTTATCTTACTTTTTAATTTGTAAAAGGTGACACAAAGGCTTGAAATATGGATCATGACCTCCTTTTTTTTTTTTAATGCTAATACATTCTTCGGTAACTTTAATTTATATAATCAATCAGCAATAGTAGTATACAACTTAGTCAATGATCAACTAAAAAAAATAGTATTCAACTTAGTGTAGTTACATAGAAAAAGATGAGTTGAAAATTGGCGCATACCAGCTCGACGTGGGAAGCCCGAAATCAAATACATGGTCACATCAAGGCCACAGATGTTTCTCCCTAACTTGTTCCTGCCACAATGATGTTGAAGATTGTGAGATTAAGTTTGATGATTTTAGTCAATGGTTAGGTGCAAGCTAGAGCGCACCAGTGAATGTATTTCGGGGAAAGAACGGAGTCATCAATGTATTTCAAATTATGAATGAATGAAAAATCAAAGCCCACGTTACAGTGAAAGCTCAGTTCATTTCATTTCACATTCTCTTGCCTTGTTTTCATTGCTCAACCTTTGAGCTAATTAATGCATGTTCATGACTTCATGTTTGGTTTATTTTATAGTTTCAACAAATGACCTTTTCAGCTCCATCCCACCCTGACCGGCAGTCTTCCATGGAATAAATTAACAACTGTTGCTAATATTTCTCTCGCAAATATCTAAGACTGAAACTTTTGCAAGTATATGACACAAAATGCAAGCAACGGTAGTTAATTAGCTCAAGTTTAAAGCAATAAACGGCAATTTTTGTCTTAAGATCTGATTGGTACAGTAGTGTTAGTGACTAATAGATAAGAACTGCTGGATATTTAAAAGAAAAATATTTTTTTAAAATTACAAAGTAAAAAAATATATATATATATCGAAAAACATTCATCTCAAAGCGGTTTACATGAAAATTGAATCAGGCAGAAACTTTGAGAGTCTAAGAGCATTACCGAATGAGATTATTCAAGTGGCAAATTGAATCTGCCTCAAAAATGATATAGTGGTGGAAATCTTTGATGGATGCAACCCAAATTTGCTAGAAAACTTATTCATCAGGACATTGTTTATTCAGTCTAAAATCTCTTTTGTCAATTTTAGTAAATTAATCAAGTGACACACAAGAATCACTTACTATAACCACTAATTTAATTGCTTGAATCACCCAAATTTCTGAATCCCACACAAAATTTGTCACACAACCTGATCGAGTGAACAGGCAGGAGAAATATGTCAAGGATGAGGGACTGAAAAATAAGCAAGCTGGGGACCAAAATGGTAAAGTTAGAAGTTGGGTGAACAGAATAATATTAGGTAAAAGGTGAAGGGCCTCCTAATGATATTTTTCCGTATTTTCATTTTTTCCTAATTTTGTTACCCTTCCAACATCTAAATTTCACATGCATGATAGTTCTCTCACATTGCAATTCTTTTTTAATGACAAATTGCATTTATTTTTGTAGGACACAAGATATACTATAATTAAACTGAATATAAAAAGTAAAAATTTTTTGAAAAGAAATCAACTACTGAAGTAACAGCGTAATTTATTCATGCAAAATTCAAATTATATTCCATACTATCATGCATTATTCTTGCACTGAACTTCACACTACAATCCACAAAAAAACAGAGAAAAATAGGAAATAGAAATATACAAATAGAGATATTAATATTCAATGCATCCTCCTGTTCAATCTTTTACGACCCTCTTTTGCCCTCTTTGGTTGTGTGATTTGAAAGGTCTTTATAAACCATTTAGGTTTTCTTGTAAAAGCAATGATCCCAATGACCACACCAACTAGGAATCCACATCCATAACCCAACAACACTATTTTCCAACCAAAATTAACTAGGAATCCAGACTCTTCTTCTAAGGTTAAAGATGGAGGCAAAACCTTGGACTCTGAGTCATCACATTTCTTTGATAGTGCCATTCCGCAAAGTCCTACATTCCCATCAAATGAGCTACTTTCAAATGTATCAAATTGTTGGCCTTTTGGGATAGGTCCTATCAAATTGTTGTTAGACACATTGAAGACTTCAAGGAAATTGAGATGTGTTAACTGCCAAGGAATTCTTCCAGTGAGCTTGTTATGAGAAAGGTCTAGCACTTCAAGACTTGTCAAATATCCCACGGCTAGTGGGATTGGACCAATAAGCATGTTATTGGAGAGGTTGAGAAGTTGAAGTCTTGTTAAATTTCCTAGCACTTTTGGAATCTCTCCTTCGAACTTGTTGCAAGAGAGATCAATGGCCATGAAAATCTCAAAGATCTTTGTGTATTCCATCTTCTGCCCTTTGTTTGTTATTGTCATTAAGTAACAAATTTGATCAAGCCAGAAACTACCATTCACCCATTCATCGAACTCTACATGCAAGTATGATGCATTTTTCCCATCAAGGTTTGCCATGATGTTCCACCTCTTGAAGTAGGCTACTGGCAATGGCCACACAAATTTATTATGAGAAAGGTCAAAGATGTGAAGTTTAGGAAATAACAAATACGACGTTGGACCACTGATTGCACCATAGAACTCATTAAAATGTAAGATGATAATCTTTATTTGGGAAAGAACTCCCAACCAAAAAGGGAAAGTGTCTTTGACTTGATTGTTACCAAGACCAAGAAACTCTAGCATTTTACAATTGGCAAGTGATCTTGGTAACTTCCCCCACAGATTATTGTTTCCAAGTTTAATCACCTTGAGTTCATTTCCAATTGCCCAAGTTTCAGGAATGAGACCATGGAAGTTGTTATCTTCCAAATTTAAAAATGATAGAGACTTGCTCAAATTACCCAAACACTGTGGTATAATCCCACTCAAGTTATTGTGAGACAAATCTAGAAATTGTAGAGAAGTCATGTTGCAAAATTGCAATGGGATTCCTCCACTGAATTTATTTTTTGCAACCATGTAGAAGAGGACGGAGCGTGGTGGAATTGGCAAAGACCCTGTGAGAAAGTTACCATCAAGGTTTAGAAACAATAGACTAGATGGAATAATACCAGAGGATTCTTCAAAACTTGTAAAAGAGTTGTTTCGGAGATTCAAATACCACAAGCTTGGACTTATTTTCAACAACCATTTAGGAATTTGACCATGAATATTGTTGAACGAAAGGTCAAGGATAGCAAGCTGATATTGGCTATGCAACAACTCTGGAAAACCACTTAGATTACATGAACCTAGTTCCAGCCCTACAAACTTTGGAACCGTGTCATTAGTAATAGTTTTGGCTAGCAATGAAAAATTATTGTTGGATAAATGCAAATATCGAAGGCGTTTGAGCCCCAAAAATGTCTCAAACTCCATTATACCACTCAATTTATTTGATTCAACATCGAATATTTCAAGGTTCTTGAGTCTAGAAATTGAGCTTAGAATTGACCCTTTTAACATATTATTGCCAAGACTCAAATATGTCAATTGGGTTAGGTTCACAAGCCAAGATGGAAATTGACCTGAGATATAATTATCGTAAAGGCCTAACACATGGAGATGAGTCTGTTGAAGATATCAGTTAACAGTAGTTATGCTTTTTTAATTTGTAACTGGTTTTTTGTTTTCTGAGTTAGTTCTACAAGTTAGCTGCATTAGGAGTAGTTATTTTTATCCTTTATGTAGAAATTGTAATGTATAAGTTGTAGATATTTAGCAACTCTTTTTGTATGTCAGTTATCAATCTAAAATGAAACAGAGCTCCACATCCGAGAAGCTCATAAAATCCAGATTAGTGTGTTCTTTAGTTTACTGTAGAAATTAACAATTGGTATCAGAGCATAATCGTCTTGAGGGGCCTGTGAGAGCAAAACAGATCAAATTCTGGTGAGAGAGAGCAAACACGAGTGCTAGTGAGGGAGAGAAGCTGTGTAAACAAAAAACACAGCCATGTCTTCAAACAATTCTTTAACACTTTCTAATCCTCCTATGTTCACAGGAGAAATTACAGTGTTTGGGCTATCAAAATGAAGGCCTTTCTAAAAGGTAATGGTGTGTGAGAATCTATAAAAGATGGGTTTCATCCTCCTATGCTGCCAAACAATCCAACTATAGCCCAAATGAAGCAACATGCTGACTATGTTCAAGCCTCATACAAAGCCCTCTCATATATTCATAGTGCTGCAACAAATGATATTTTCTCAAGAATCATGGGAGTAGAAACAGCACAAGAAGCATGAGATACTCTTAAGAAAGAGTTTGATGGCAGTTCTTGTGTTAAAGGTAACAAGATTGTAACCCTTAAAAGACAATTTGAAATGCTGAAAATGCAAGAGACAGAGACAATCCATCAATATACAAATAAATTGATGGATGTTGTCAACCGAATTAGACTTCATGGTGAGGAATTTCCAGATCGAAGGCTGGTGGAGAAGATTATTGTTAGTGTACCAGATGAATTTGAGTCCAAGATTTCTGCCATAGAAGAATCTTATGACCTCAAAGAGCTAACCATTACTGAGCTTATAAGCAAGCTTCAGGCTCATGAGCAAACGCTGGTTATGAAAACCGATGAAACAAAAGAAGGAGCCTTCCTTGCAAGGCAAAAAGGAAAACAACCAGCCACTAGTTCTGAAAGCAATAAGACCAATGGTTATAACCAAGCATATCAGCAGCATCAACAAAGCAGAAAAGGGAGGTTTCCTCTATGCTGTTATTGCAGAAAATCAAACCATGAAGAAAAAGATTGTTGGTTCAAAGGCAAATCACAGATTCAGTGCAGATTTTGTAAAAAATATGGCCATATTGAGAAGAATTGTAGGGCTAAGCAACAGCGACAGCATCAAACACAACATCAACAAGCTCAGTACAGACCAAAGCAACAACAGCAAGTTAATTATGCTGAAGATCAGTGCAAGGAGGATTACTTGTTCACAGTGACTCAAGGTTCATCTCTACCATCTAGTACTTGGTTTGTTGATAATGGATGCACTAATCATATGGCTCGAGATGAAAGTCTCTTCGTTGAAATGGACAAATCAGTTATTACAAATGTCAAGTTAGGAAATGGTACTGTGCTGAGATCACAAGGGAAAGGTACTGCTATTATTCAAACTAAAACAGGTACAAAGCAAATTACTGATGTCATGTTTATTCCGAGCTTAAGCCAAAATTTACTTTCTGTTGCACAAATGATGAAAAAGGGATTCACTCTATCTTTTGTGCATGATTCATGTTTTGACCCTACTAGTGATGAGATAGCTAAGGTGAAAATGGTAGAAAACATCTTTCCTTTGGATTTCGAAAAGGTGCAGCATTGTTTTTCTACTTGTAAAACTGTGGATGAAAATTTATGGCACAAAAGATATGGTCATTTCAATGTCAAAGGCTTGAAATATATGCAAACACATGAGTTTGTTCGAGATTTGACAGAATTACATTTAACTAACAGTGTTTGTGAAAGTTGTCAATTAGGCAAGATGCATAAATTGCCTTTTCTTGTGAACAAATTCTTGAGAGCAACTCAAAAGCTTGAACTGGTGCATACAGATATTTGTGGTCCTATGAGAACACCATCTCTCAGCCAAAACAGATATTTCATCCTCTTTATAGATGACTTTACAAGAATGACATGGGTATACTTTCTTGATAGCAAAGGTCAAGCCTTACCTGTGTTTGAAAAATTCAAGGCTTTGGTTGAAAACCAAAGTGGATGCAGAATTAAAAAGCTCAGATCAGATAATCGCAAGGAGTATACCTCCAATGATTTCAACTTGTTTTGTGAAGAAGCTGGTGTTGATCATCAATTAACAGTGTCTTATACCCCACAGCAGAATGGCATTGCAAAAAGGAAAAATAGAACCGTTATAGAGATGGCAAGGTGCATGTTGGCAGAGAAGAAATTGCCCAAATCTTTTTGGGCTAAAGTAGTTTATATAGCAATCTATCTCTTAAATGGTTTACCAACAAAGGCAGTAAAAGGCATGACACCTATTGAGGCTTGGTATGGTCAAAAACCATTTGCTGATCATTGGAAGGTTTTTGGCTCAATTTGTTATAATCATGTTCCAACAGCTAAAAGAGGAAAATTAGATGAGAAGGCAGAAATTGGGATCTTTATAGGCTATGGAACACAAGCAAAAGGCTATAAGGTGTATGATCCTATATCCCAGAAGGTGAATGTGCATAAAGATGTTGTTTTTTATGAGAGTGCACACTGGAATTAGGATGCAGGGAAGATAGAAAAAGGCTCAAATAAGCAATGTGAAGCTGGTTCAGATGTTGCTTCCAGTTCTGAAATTGCAGAAGTTGATGATGATTCATCGATTTTAAAAACCAAGTCACTAGCTGATATTTATGCAAGATGTAATTTAGCTACTGCAGAACCTAATTGTTTTGAAGAAGCAGCTAAACAACAGGTTTGGATTGATGCCATGAAGGAGAAGCTATCTATGATCGAAAAAAATCAAACTTGGTGCCTTGTTCCAAAACCAAATGATAAGAAGCCTATTGGAGTGAAGTGGGTGTTTCGAACTAAGCTAAATCCAGATGGGTCTATACACAAACATAAGGCCAGACTTGTTGTGAAGGGGTATGCTCAACAGCCGGGTGTCGATTATGGAGAGACTTATGCTCCGGTGGCTAGACATGATACAATAAGGCTTCTAATTGCATTAGCTGCTAATTTGGGTTGGAAGTTGTTTCATATGGATGTAAAATCAGCTTTCCTCAATGGTGTTTTGCAAGAGGAAATTTATGTTGAACAACCACTTGGGTTTGAGATTACAGGGAATGAAGATTGTGTTTATAAGCTTAACAAGGCTTTGTATGGTCTAAAACAGGCGCCAAGGGCCTGGTATTGCAGAATTGATCACTACTTGATGAGTCAAGGCTTCAGAAGGAGCACAGAAGAAGCAACTTTGTATGTGAAAGGCAGCAGCAGTGAATCGTAACTTATTTTGTCACTTTATGTGGATGACTTATTGTTAACCGAAAATGATTTGAAGTTGTTGGAACAATTCAAGAAGGTTATGATGCAAAAGTTTGCAATGACAGATTTGGGAGAGACAAAGTATTTTCTGGGACTTGAAGTTCAACAATTGAGCAAGGGAATTTTTATTTGCCAGAGAAAGTATGCACTGGATATCTTGAAGAAGTTTGAAATGGAGAACTGCAAACCAGTTGCCACTCCATTGGTTCAAAATGAAAAGCTTTCCAAGAATGATCAAGAAACCAAGGTTGATTCCTCCTACTATCGAAGTTTAATTGGTAGCCTGCTTTATTTAACTGCTACAAGACCTGATTTGATGTTTGCAACAAGCTATTTGTCAAGGTTTATGTCAGCTCCTAGTAAACTTCATTTAGTTGCAGCCAAGAGAGTTCTTAGGTACATCAAAGGAACCTATGAACTTGGCTTGTGGTTTGACAATAATCAACAAGGAAGGTTACAGGGGTATGTTGATAGTGATTGGGCAGGTTCTATGGAGGATATGATAAGCACAACAGGTTATGTTTTCTCCTTTGGTTCAGGGAGTTTCTCTTGGAATTCAAAGAAGCAGGATGTTGTAGCTCAGTCCACAGCTGAGGCTAAATATTTAGCAGCTGGAGCAGCAGCGAATCATGCTGTTTGGCTTAGAATGGTGCTTGAAGAACTTGGTTTTAATCAAATTGAGTCTTGTGTACTCAATGTAGATAACATGTCAGCAATTGCTATTGCTCAAAATCCAGTGCAGCATGGTAGGACCAAACACATCAAGATTGAATACCATGTTATCAGAAATTATGTTCAGGACAAAGAGATTGTTTTGCAACATTGTGATTCTGAAATTCAAGTTGCAGATATTCTGACTAAAGCTCTTCCAAGGCAGAAATTTGAAGAGTTCAAAGATATGCTTGGAGTTACAAATATAAAAAGCAAGGAGGAGTGTTGAAGATATCAGTTAACAGCAGTTATGCTTTTTTAATTTGTAACTGGTTTTTTGTTTTATGCAGTTAGTTCTACAAGTTAGCTGCATTAGGAGTAGTTATTTTTATCCTTTATGTAGAAACTGTAATTTATAAGTTGTAGATATTTAGCAACTCTTTTTGTATGTCAGTTATCAATCTGAAATGAAACAGAGCTCCACATCCGAGAAGCTCATAAAATCCAGATTAGTGTGTTCTTTAGTTTACCACAAAAATTAATAGAGTCAAGCTCGCAAAAAAAGGGATCTCACTAGAAGTGAACTGATTTAAGCCCAGATCCAAATATGTCAATTGGGTTAGGTTAACAAGCCAAGATGGAAATTGACCTGAGATCTAATTCTTGTAAAGGTCTAACACACGGAGATGAGTCAAGCTCGCAAAAGAAGGGATCTCACTAAAAGTGAACTGATTTATGCCAATAACTAAATATCTTAGTTGCGTGAGGTTTGATAAGAAGGGAGCTTTTGATCCCTTGAAAGAATTATTCCGTAGGCTAAAGGTGTGGAGCTTAGTGAGATTAGAAAGTGAGGATGGCAACAATCCTGAAAACTTACAATTTTCAACATTCAAATATTGCAGAGAGCTGAGGAGACCAAATGATGTTGGAAACTCACCAGAAAAACTTGTGTTAGCAACTGATAATACCTTAAGCGGATTGCTAAAATGAAATTCAAGAAAACTACCAGTAAGACCCCAATTGCCACCCACAAAAAGGTACTCAAGTTTTGATAGCTGGAAAATGGTTGTAGGAAACATTCCAACCAATCCACATTGAGTGAGAGAAAGATATTTTAGTGATGAAAATTTTGTAAGGGCATTAGGTATTGAAGAGTTCATTTTAACTAAAGAAAGGTCAAGCCATTCTAGCCTAGTGAAGTTGTGAATTAGGCTGTTTAAATTAGGCCTTTTGAGTTCCAACAATCCTTGATATGAATAATCAAAATTTGAAGACAGGTCAAGCTCGGTTAACTTGGAGAGTTTTGAAATTTCGAATGGTACTTGACCATAAAAGAGAGAATGAGAAAGATTGAGGTACGCTAACCTGGAAAGATTACTCAATGCAGCAGGTATCTCAGAATAATTGAAGTCATTGAAGGCAAGATTGAGATATTGCAAATGACCAAGGCGGAAAAGGCTATTACTGGAATTGATAGAACCAAAAAGACAACTATTGCTAAGATCAAGGCCTATGACATGACCTGTATGTTGGTCACACCAAATGCCCTCCCATGAACAGCAATCAATCTCTTGAGATTTCCAGAGATTGACTTTAGGATATGCACATGGATTAGCAGAGGCTTGCCTTGTGATGACAAAACTGTCTTTGAATTGCATCAGGGCAAGCCACTCATCCTTATGACACAATGGCTTATGTGAAGATGGTTGAAAGAAAGAGATCACCAAGAAAAGCAAGATTATAAGAAAGAAGTGGGTTATGGATGACGCCATGATTTCTTTGGGTATGTTGGTTTTGAACTAGTGAAAATTAATGCAAGTGATGCAGAGTGCAGAGCTTTTATACACAAAATTGTATTCATATTATACACGTTCAATCTATTTGGAAAGTTGGAATATCCAAATCTGCCCCCATATGTGTAGGCAGGGACAAATCAACCCACCGACTAAACGTAAGGAAAAATCCACACCATAACTAATCCATCTAGACAAATCAACCCACCAACTAAACGTAAGGAAAAATCCACAGCATAACTAATCCATCTAGACAAATCCACCAATATTTAATGGCTAAAACTAGGTGATATCAGCTTTCCGTTATCGAAGTTAGTTAAACATATTTTTTTGATTTAAAAGTGATATGATAATTCTGACCTTTTCTTTTTTGCTAATACATTATTGGGTAGCTTTAACATATATAAAATCAATAAGCAATGTAAGTATCTTTAACATCTAAATGTTAATGGTCAGCATGACAGCACAAAATACCAATTCAAGTATTCCTAGACGAAAAAAGATGACTTGAAAACTGAAAATTGAAACTTGACATACCTGCTCGACGTATGTGGGAAGCATGGAATCTAATACATGATCACATCAAAGCCAAAGATGCTCCTTCCTAACTTGACCTGCCACCACAATGTGGAAGATTGTGAGATTACCTTTGGTGATATTAGTCAGTGGTAAGCTGGTAGGGCACCAATTAATGTACTTCCCTGAAAATGGTGTCATCAATTTATTTTAAACTATGAACTAATGTAAAATCAAAAGTTGAAAATGCATGCAAAGTGCAGAGTTGAAAGTGATGGTTATTTGGCAAGATGGTGCAGCCGAATATCTTGACAAAAATGGATTCTGCTTCTGCATGTATCCATGAAATTAAAGGTTAAGACTTTAAAGGTCATTGCATTTATTGTGCATGGTTGGATTATGAACTTGCAGACCATTACGTTAATTTTGGGCGGTGGATTTTTGGCTATAACAGCTTTGGCCATTCGGCAAAGCAATCAAGAGAGCAATCCAAAGCAAAGTGAGCTCAAGAAAAATTCAAGAGAGTTGTGAGTGCTTTAGGTGAGGGTGAGCAAGAGCAGACTAGTTAAAATTCTTTGATGAGTGTTTTTTTTTTATTTTTTTTTAATGTACCTTGCATTCAAAAATGCTGTAAATAAGATTTGAATGTACTTAAGGATTGGATATTTATGAGAGTATCACAAATTGTATCTCCCTATTTAATAGTGAACATTTTCTTGTGAATACTCATTGGCATAAACTCAATTAAATTGGAGCTGAACAAAAAAAAAATGGCCTTCCTGGGAGGGTGCAATTTTTTTTAATTCAATAAATTTTTAAATTTGGCAGGAAGTAAACAAAAACCCAAACAAATTGGTCCAAAAACAAAAAAAAAAAAAAAAACCCAAATCAATGCAAAATGGCCTCCAATGGTTTCAAAAGGAAAACCTTTGAGCTAATGCATTTTGTCTCAAACAAGTATAGATAGAAACTTTGAGAGCCTAAGAGCATACTAGTATTACATTATCCAAGTGGCAAATCGAATCTGCCTCACTCAGAAATGATAATGGTGGAAATCTTTGATGGCTGCGACCCAAAATTTGCTAAAAAACTTAAGCATCAAGACATTGTTTATTCACCCCAAAATTTCCTTTTGCTGATTTCAGCAAATTAATCAAGCAACATGCAGGAATCACTTACTAATCACTGATTAAATTGCTTCAATCACTTCAGATTATGAATCCCATACAACATTTCTCACACGATCAGTCCATGAAAACCCTAATTTATCCCCAAATTTATCCTCATTATTTCCCACCAAAACAATTTTGTGTCTTGTGTGACCTTCTAATGACATTTTCTCCCTTTTCCTTTTGCTCTCCAAATTTTGTTTACATTTTCAACATCTGAATTTCACATGTATGAATGATTTATCTCTCAGATTGCATTTTTTTAATGATAAAATGCATTTATTTTTGTAGGATAAAGGATATACTAGAATTAAACTGAATGTAAAAGGTAAAAATTTCTCAAAGGAAGGCAACTGGTGAAGTAGTAGTGTAATTTATTCATGCAAATTCAAATTATATTCCATACCATAAGTTGTTTTTTCACCGAATCTTTGATAACTACTGTCCCCAAATTTGCTAGAAAACTTAATCATCGGGACATTGTTTATTCACCTAAAAATCCCTTTTACAAATTTCAGCGAATTAATCAAGCCACACTAAAGAATCACTCACTAATCTCCAACTAAATTGCTTGAATCACTCCATTCCATATCTTGATTCCTAATTGCAAATTGCAATTGCACCATAGAACCAATCGTAAGGTAAAATGAGAATCTTTGATTTGGAAAGAATTCCTAACCAAGAAGGAGAAGGGTCTCTAATTTGGTTGTTACCAATATCAAGAAACTCTAGCATTATACAGTTGGTTAAGGATTATCAAAGACATGCTCGGTTGCCCGAACATTAAGGGATTGTTCCACCCAAATTACTGTGAGAAAATCAAAAACTTGGAGAGAAGTCAAATTGCATATTTGAGGTGGGATTTGGCCATTGAATCTATATTTTGAAGCCGAATCGAAGATGATGTTCAATGGTGGTATAGGAAGGGAAGCATCAAGCGTGCAAATTCAAAAGCCGATACATCAGCTACTGAAGTAGCGGTGCAGCTTATTCATGCAGATTTAAAATTCCACTCCATGTTAGTATACATTGCTCTTGCACTGAACTTGGATGTAATCCACACATACAGAGAAAAGAAGGAAAAATAAATATATAAGGAAATAATAGCATGAGCAGATAGATATCATCTTCACTGCATCCAACTGTTCAATCTTTCCCACCCCTTCCTTTGCCTTCTTGGCTGCCTGATTTGGAATGTCTTCATAAACCATTCATCTCTTCTTGTAAAAACAGTGCATCCAATGATCACACCGACAAGGAATCCACTTCCATAACCCAACAACACTAATTTCCAAGCAAATTTGGCTAACAATCCAGAGTCTTCATTTCCTTTAGAGGTTGAAGATGGTGGAGGCAATACCTTGGAGCTATGGTAGTCACATTTCTTCAACAGTGGCATTCTGCATAGCCCTAAATTTCCCTCAAAAGAGCTGCTTTCAAATGTGTCAAATTGTCAGCCATTTGGGATGGGTCCTGTCAAATAGTTGTGAGACACATTGAAGACTTCAAAAAAATTGAGCTGTACCAACTGTGTAGGAATTCTTCCCATGATTTGTTTGCAGAAAGATCAAATGCTTCAAGATTTGTAAGGTCTCCCACGGCCGGTGGGATCAGACCAACAAGGATGTTATTGGAAAGATTAAGCAATTGAAGACCTTTTAAATTCCCAACTACTTCTAGAATCTCTCAATCAAACTTATTGCAAGAAAGATCAACGACTTTGAAAACCTCCAAGATCTTTGCATATTCCATCTTCTCTCCTTTGCTCGTTATTTTCATTAAGGAAAAAGATAAGAAATGATGATATGATTCACCATGATATGGTGGTCAGATGCATGCATATATGTTGCATTCTCTTTCTCCTCATTAAGTTCAGCCAAGGCATTCCATCTCGCGAAGTAATCTATTCGCAAAGTGCCAACAACCCCATTGTCAAAAGGTCAATGATGCAAAGCATAGGAAAGAAGAAATTTGTCTTAGGCCCTTTGATTACAATTGCACCATGGAACCTATTGGAATACAAAATGAGAATCCTCAATTCAAGAAGAATTCCCAACCAAGAAGGGAAAATATCTTTGATCTGATTGTTTCTAAGACAAGAAACACTAGCATTTTGCAATTGGCCAATGATCTTGGTAACTTCCCCTGCAAATAGTTCTGTCCAAGTTTAATTGCCTTAAGTTTGTTTCCAGTTTCCCAAGTTTTAGGAGTAAGACCATGGAAGTTGTTTTTCTCCAAATTTTAAATCAAAATGGACCTAAGGTTCCCAAAACATGGCAGCAGCATCCCACTCAAGTCATTGTGGGACAAATCAAGAACTTGAAGAGAAGTCATGTTGCAGAATTGGGGTGGAATTTCTCCACTGAATCCATTTCCTGAAACTAAGTAGAAAAGAATGGAGGGTGGCGGGATTGGCAGAGAACCCCTGAGAAAGTTAAAACTAAGGTCTGGATAGAAAAGACCAGTTGAAGGAAACACAATAAAGGATTCTTCAAAACTTGTCAAAAAGTTATAAGAAAGACCTAAAATGCACAAACTTGCACTCATTTTCAATATCCAATTAGGTATTTGGGCATGGATATTGTTAAAGGCAAGGGTGAGGAGATTCAACTAATTCTGGTTGCACAAAAAGCCTGGAAACTCTCTTAGATTACAAGAGGCAAGACCCAACACTTCAAACTTTTGCATTGTTCTATTAGTGGTACTCTTTGTTAGTAATGAGAAATTACTAAAGCCCAAACTCAAACTTTTAAGGGATTTAAGTTCAAGAAATGAGTCAAACTCAACAAAACCACTCAACATATTGAAGCCAACATTGAATATTTCAAGGATCTTGAGTCTAGAAATTGAGTTTGGAAGAGAACCATGTAACATACTATGTGCAAGGCTCAAAAATGATAAGTCTGTTAGGTTTGTAAACCAAGATGGAAAATGACAAGTAATTTAATTATTAGAAAGGTCGATTGTCACTAGACAAGTCAAGCTAGCAAAAGAATAAGGGACCTCACTAAAAGTGAATTGATTTAATTTAAGATTTAGGTCAGTTGAGTAAGGTTTGAGAAGGAAGGAACATTTTCT